CCCAATCTGCATCAGAGTATCCGCTAAGGGACAAGGAAGAACTGGCCGAGAAATGTAAACCATGCAATAAGGTGCCCTTCACATAGCGAAGGATGTGCAACACAGCAGAATGATGCGTGGTTCTCGGAGTAGCCATAAACTGACTCACAATATGAACAACATGAGCTATATCAGGCCAAGTGACAGTCAAATATATCAAACTCCCAACGAGCTGGCGATATAACGTAGGATCCTCAAGAAGAGAACCATCCAATGGAGTAAGACGAATATCATAATCAAGAGGTGTAGAAGCTGTCTGGCAATCAGTGAGACCGGCCCGAGCAAGAAGATCAGAGGCATACTTGGCTTGAGACAAATAGAAGCCATCAGAGGAATCATAAATCTCAAGACCCAGAAAATAGCGAAGACGACCCAAACTTTTCATCTCAAAATGCTGTCGAAGATAATTCTGTAAGTCGAAAATACCCGAAACATCATCCCCCGTGATGATCGTATCATCAACATAGAGCAAAAAAACAATGATCCCAGATGAAGAGCGCCAAAGAAATAGGGCAGAATCGTGATCACTCATAGTGAAACAAAACTGAAACAATGCAGAACTGAACGTGGCGTACCAGGCACGAGGCGCTTGTTTCAAGCCATACAAAGTTCGGCGCAGACGAAAAACCTTCCCAGAGTACAAGAACCCAGGAGGAGGAGTCATGTAAACCTCCTCAGATAATGCACCGTGCAAGAAGGCATTCTTAACATCTAACTGTAAAAGAGACCATCGATGAACTGCAGCAACTGCAAGTAAACAGCGTACAGTAGTAAGATGAGCAACCAGTGCAAATGTCTCTTCATAATCTATTCCATACTCCTGTGAGTACCCCTTAACAACAAGACGAGCTTTGTAGCGCTCAATAGAACCATCTGAATTTGTTTTGATCTTGTAAACCCATTTGAATCCGATGGGTTTCTCGCCAGTAGGTACCAACTAGATCCTAAGTATGAGTCTTGTCTAAGGCCTGCAATTTCTCAGCCATAGCTTGTTGCCACAATGGATCAATACTCGCCTCACGAAAAGACCTAGGCTCATGATGAGATAATATGGCCGAATAACAATGATAATCAAGTAAGTGAGAAGGGGGACGACTTACACGAGTCGACCGTCGCTGATCAATAGCTGGCAAAAGTATAGAACCAGAAGAGGGCTCATTACGAACTATCGGTTCAGGATGCACAGGTGGAGCCACTTTCTTACACGTATGTAGGAGAAAATCGGCCAGCATAACTCATGAACAAGAGGTTGGGACTTGGTGTATTCATAGGCTCCATTAGGGACCTTAAGGAGGTGCTAAATATGGGCTTATCACATTAGGCCTAGGAATCCTAATTCTACTCCAATACTAATTCAATGTAGGAAAGAGATCTCTTACTATTTTAACTCTTCTAGAAGACTCCTTAGTCTCCTAACACTAGAGAAGATCCTAGTAGGAATACCTTTCCTAATTAAATTAATAATCATGGAATAAAATTAATTCCTAATTTAGGAAACCTAATTCTACTCCAATTAATAATCTAATGTAGGAAATATATCTCCTACTAATCTTCATCTTCTAGAAGACTCCTTAGTCTCCTAATTCCTAGAGATGATTCTAGTAGGAATATTATTTTCCTAATTAAATTAATTAATATGGAATAAAATTAATTCCTATTTAAATAGAATTAAATAATAAAACATCCCACTAGAGTAATATTATTGCTCTCCCCGTTTAGCCACTATTTTACATATAAAATCGGGCCATGATTAATTAATATTAATCCAATTAATCGATTTACCTCCCTATGTTTAAGATATAACGTCCGTTGATTAATTAAATTACTGACAAAATAATTAATCAACTTCTTATTCATTTCCAAAATTAGTACCACTCAGAACCTTAACCATTATGTCAGACAATCGTCTACCTGCAGGGTTTAACATAATGTACATTCCTGAGCTCATTTCGGGGACGTCATCAATCCAGCGCACTAGAACATAGTGACCATAAATAATTTATAATAGCACATCATATAATTTGTAACGCCCCACTTTTATTTACCAAAAATCAGAATAAATTTTTCGAAATTTATT